TTAAATTTTTATATTTGTATTTATTCAAAGGTTTATGATGAGGATTGTGCCATTAAAAAAAGAATATTTTCATAATTAGCATTCCAGATATGAATTAGTTCCTTGTCTATGGTAGGTGGAATATTGATTTTATTAAATATTTAAATTTTGATAAATGACAAATAAATCTAATGGCATAAGGGTGTAATTATTGAAAAAAAATTAGGAATATTTCAAATTTGTATTTCAATTTTAATAGTTTAGATTTTTCATTTTACACTTTCCTTGTCTTTAATGGCGTGGTCCCCTGTAAGCACTTGTAAAACCCCTTTTTTCGTAATTCTTGTTTCAGAGAGAATCAAGCCATCTGATGTTGGAATCGAGCAGGAAGCTCAATTGGCACGGACCAGGTCTGGTGGTCCTCTCAATAGGAGTCAACAGTCTCCCCAAGCAATAAAGTATCTTCACTTGCATGAGTGTGACAGTTTCTCCGTAAGCTTATACTCATTTGACTAATTTATAGCTGAATTAGTCTTGAGTGTTGCTACGGATGACTACTACAAGATAGCATATTTGAGAAGTCTTAAGGAAAGTGTTCATATTTGGTGAATCAATATAGGATGACTGTATGAAACATAGCATGAGCGTATAGTAATGCTACTGCTTAAAATTATATGATGTAACCATATTCTCAGAATCGCAGTAGAGATCTAAGGTTTTTTTTTTTTTTTTTTAAGTAGAGATCTAAGGTTAAAGCGCTCTATAGCCATCCTGATGACATTTAATATTCTTTACGGATATTCAAATTAGGGGATTAGGAGGCATCCAAACATGGTCCTTAAGAGAATCTCAGGAACCAGTCATTGAAGCCATGAGCCTGAAGTCGCAAAAAAAAAGCCTATGACAAATGATTTAAAATGTAAATATGAGTAAACACAGTTGGACTTAATTCTGAGTCTGTCGCTAGCCGAGATTTCATCGTCCTTATACTGCCACTGATGACATCTCTCACTTGGTCCATTTTGTCTCTGTTGTTGAAACAGATAGGAATTTTCTGTCTGCCACCTTCCTCTATGATACCACTTCACAACCATTCGGGAATGACTGTGCTAAGCAAGCTCATATATGGTTCAATACATGAGAAGTCATATGATTGGCTAGAGCCTGACCTGACCGAACTTGAAGATCAATGATCACAAGGTACAACGTACCGTCCTTCTCCAGCTCTCAATTTTTTTTAGCTAATCACTCGTCTGGTGTAAACTTTAAACTTTTTATTAATAACTTTAAACGTGATCGGCATTGCACTTACTTCGGGAAGTCCAAAAGAGAGGATTTACCTGGTAATATCAGAAAACACGATTCTCTGTTAGAAACTATACGGAACACAGTTCACGCTGTATTTATATGCGATGTGAAACGGAGAGCAGGTGAAGCAAAACTGGATGGGGAAGTGGTAGCAGACGTGACTTGGCTTGAGGAGTTTCAACCGACTTTGTGATACAGCGAGTTCAGTACAATGGTCCTGTTATTAAAACTTGATTTTTAGGTATGTTATATCTCTTCATATAATTGGTGAAGGAGGTTTGGAGTTTTATATTTTTTTTTTATTTATATCACATTCTTCCTTTGGGAAAATAATATTAGATTTGGGGTCTTTTTATATTGCAAACGAGATTGTAGATACTGATTTGTGATAATTGATGAGGTATCTCCAGTTTCATAATATTGCAAAGAATATTTGTAGTGGCATTTCTTTTGAAAAAAATCATTTAAATTAATTTTCTTTTGTAGCTTTCTGCGAAAAAATCTTCACTTTGAATGTAACAAATTGGATAATTATTATTCGCCACTTATCAACAATTTCATGCAGTTTCAGCCATTTTTCTTAACTGCTAGATTCAGCTTAACGAAGTTGGGAATCACACCAGATGAGCTTTTTCTATTATTGAAGGGTCTAAGTCTATCTATCATAGTCACATTAGCTCATGATAATAATAGCAAGGGGAAGATTGTTTGTTCTATATAACGTTAACATGCTTATTGACTAGTGGATACGTGTTTTGATCTGAACCGATGTTTAATTCTAGCCACAAAAATAAACATAGAGTACGACTTAGAAGTGGCTTGTTATATATATGGAACTCGATATATAACTTCTTTTATTAATCTTAAACGAAATAAGCTATAAGAGAAACAATATATTATTATGTTATAGTTATATAAAAACAATTGTTACGTTATCTTGTTTATTTTTTCTAAAAACGTTTATTATAAAATCAAAAGATGAGCTTACAAAAGTGTTATATTGTTAATTTCTTACTCAAAATCTTTGAAACACTAATACAAATTCTTATTGTGTACCTTTTTCTTATGAGTATTATTACAAAAAAAATTTACAAAACAAATTTCTTACCAAAAAAAAGTATTATTACAAAACAATTTTATATAACTAAAGCTAATTATGCCGGGCCTGGTTGAAGACTAAAGATACGTACGTAGGCATGTGGTGGAGAAGAATTCCAAGACGGTGCCTTATTCTGCGGCGATTCTTTAGGGCAACATGCAGATTTTCTTTTAGCTTCTTGCATGTATACTATAAATAATTAAATTAACTGGAACGACGTCCTTTTTATATTTCCAGTCTTCTGTAGATCTACCTTTCTGTATAATATAGGTATCTTGCTCTGTATAAACGTACAAATTCTATGTTGGCAGTTGGCTACCTTTCAAAACAAGATTTCAATTATGAAACAAGAAAATTAAGAACAAACTTAATTATTAAAAAAATAACTTGTAAAAAATGTTAAATGGTGTGATGTTTTAAGGTTCCTAGTTTTTATTTAAATTTTCATTCAAAAGTTTATAGACGCTTCTTCATGGATTATTATTACCAAATGATGGAACAGTACTATAAAAGTTTCAGTGGTATGTTGTATTTGCAAAATCAAGGTGGATCGTAACTGATGATTGGTTTACCTCCTGCCATTAGTTGTAAGGTATTCCAAATTCGGGTTAGACAATGTGATAGTCAATCCACTATGTAGCACTAAGTGGTGGTTGACTGGATCAACCGATAAGGTTTATCAAAAAACAAAATCAAAACTCTATTTAAGTGTAGTATAAATTTCTGATTAATTTTGGAGACGATTGTTAATAGTTTCTATCAAGTATATACTATGTATTTATCAGTGGAAAACAGTCGACAAAGATATTCTTTAAATCTTAACCAAATAATTATGAAAGTAATTTGAAATGTCCTTATTCATAAAAAAAAAAGAGCATGGGAAATGGAGGAATTGTGTATGAATTGTCGGTACGTAAATAGGTTAGGACAAAACATAGTTCCTCATCTTTCTTAGTGCCCACATGAGTCTCCTACGATTCTTTCTCACACATCAATGCTCTCTTCACTTCTAATTAATTGTACTTCGAATGTTTGTCCTCTTCTTCTCTCTCCAAAACCCTAAAGTTGAAGATCGAGAGCGTTGAAATTTGATACTATCGCGTGGAAATTTGATCCTCTCTCGCGTTTTTACTTACATGTTCCAAAATGTTTGTATAGATATGTGTGTGCATAGAGTGTCGGAATCTTGCATCGGGACAGTTCATAATTAAAATGTTCACGATGATACTAAAGACAAAATTGTTATTGTGTTACTTTTGAATCATTAAAATGGTATTTGAGCTACACAATATATATCACTTCATCATTCGTCAAGTTCAAGTACAACCTCTCTCGAATTATATATATGGATGATTTGGTAACTAATGAATAATGGTTATGTGCCTTATAATACTAGTTAACAACAAATAGAGCAAGCCCTAATCAAGAGATATCAAATATAAGCAGGTGCGTAACCCAATGCCCACTGAAAGGGGTCACCAATAATAAAACCAAAAGGATAAAGACAACTTGTGAATTTGTACAAACGTGAACCCAAGAATCTTTGGGAATCACATCCTTAACTATATGACAAAGCTCCCTTCTCTTTACTTTATAAGTTTTGATTGTAAACGTTGGGATTGGAAACTGTCATCATATAATATATGAATAGATCACGACTTAATGAAATACAGATGTTTTAGAGGAATATTGGGTGATTTACCCCACATCAATTTTATTGTGGAAAGCAAAAATAAATGTTCTGAATACAGATGAATACTTCCAACAATCGGCTTAAATCGATGGTTGTCATATCCGATTTGTTTTTCTAGATGTAAGAGACTAAATTGGTGTATCTTTAGATGAACCAATTTTATTATATTTAATTTTGAAAGTGGTTTTGAAAATATCGTTCTAATATGACAAGATTGTGAAGCGTAGTCTCCGGCAAAGGTCAACTTAACTAGAGATTATAAACGATATTATAAAGACAAGAGTGGTTTGGTCGGATAGAATTGTTTAATCATTCACAAAACTACAATTCTAATGACACAAAATATTCGACTGATAATTCTATAAGTATGCATATCGATTTAATTATTGTAACCAAGGTGCGTGATATGTGACTTAACCAATTTAAACAACCTACCTATTATCATGTTTTAATACGGAAAGAATATTTCGTAAGCATAAGAACTAACAAGATTCTATATACAAATATAGTCTATTTTCTCTTAAAAGACTTCTTCTGCTTATTTTTGAGAAGAAAATGTGATAAGTTTAAATGTCTCTGTCACTAAAAAAACAAGCGGATATTTTTCTGGTATGTTAACAAAAATGTAGCAAAACCTAATAACTAATGTGATTTCACCAAACGGAAGATTCCAACACACTTTTCCACAAAAAACACATACACATACACGTAAACATGCATGACATAGACAAGAATATAAATGTCTGTATATATATTATAGTTTTATGACTAACAAGATGACTATATAATAATGCACATATATGATATGAATATCTGATCATATATGTATTATTGAAGCTAAGTTCCAACTTTGAAATGTTCATAGAGAGAGACTATACACATATTGAGATATAGTTAGTCACTGATCTGAAAAGCTAGCTCCCCGGAGAGACATGGACGGAACATCTACGCCGGAGAAATGCTCCACGTTGCTTGATTTAAACAGAGAAGAGGCGTTGGAGAAGAACAATGAAGAAGAGTCATCAGTTGAAGATGAAGACCAACAAGTCACAAGTAGTAATAACGTGAGACAATATGTTCGGTCCAACATGCCTCGTCTTCGTTGGACACCTGATCTTCATCTTTCCTTCGTCCGTGCAGTCCAACGACTTGGCGGTCCACACAGTAACATTCTTGTTTTTTTTCTTTTTTTCTTGGAGTCTCTTTCTGTGACTTGTAATAATTGTACTTGTGTATGAGTGTACAGGGGCGACACCTAAAATGGTTCTTCAAATGATGAATCTGAAAGGTTTGAGTATTGCACATGTCAAGAGTCACTTGCAGGTTGATATACTCCTCAAAAAGTACTTAATCTCATTTTTCTTGTCTCTTCTTTTTTACAATGTTTGTGATGTTTCTGATTTGTAGATGTATCGGAGTAAGAAGCTTGAGGCAACGTCTCTACATGGTATGTCTTGTCGGATCTGAGATTTTGAGAGCCATAAATATTTACAAAGAGCTTAATAAAACAAATTATTTGCATAATTTATGAGACTAAATATGTCTATCTATATAATAACCTTGGACATGGATAATGTTTCATTCGGTTGTGTCCAGAGCCGGTTTTAATTATCATATTCATTTAAATGATTTTTGATTTGAAGATGGCTTTTCAAATGACTTGAAGCAGATGTTGGAGCTATGATGGGAGCACAAAGAAGCTATTTGTTAGACATGATTGATATCCCTTATGGTGATTTAAGACATGCGTATTACCCTAAAACAGTTCCTTCAAGGTCACACAACCTCCATTTTCTCAAAAGATTCAGATTTGTGAACCTCTTCACAGTCAATAACTTAAAAAGATGCATTCATATATGCAGGGTACACAATCAAGGCGCGGTCTTCACAAATCTTGGAGCTAATTTTGTAATGCGACCTTCAAGTTGGTGTAACAGGTTAAGTGGAAATGAATTGAATGGTGTATGTAGTGGACTTGACAAAGAAAGCTTGGAGAGCAAGACTCTGCCTCTGCTCGAGGTATATAGCTTAATCCTCTTGATGAACAACTTGGTAGAAATAGAATCAAAGGAGGATGTTGTAATCTTGTTGAAACCTTATGCAGATTAAGAGGCAAACCCCAGAGAAAAGAGTCAGAGAAGAACATGACAGAGAAGTAGCATCACTCAAACGATCAAAACCATTGTCCGGAGATGGGATCAACACGATGCTCTCGCTGTCTCTGTTCTCGACATCACCAGGAGACGGTAGTAAAGGCATCTGACATAGTAGAGACATAAAAGGTTTCAAACTTAAAGGGGATTCAAGGGTAGAGACTGTTTCTTGAAGCCATTTCTTGAGATGAGTACTTAGCCAGGATCTGGGTGTCAGGCTTGATTCAGATCCTGTAAGTACTTCTCTTTCGGGTGAGTTTTGTATTCTTACAGAAATTTAATCAGTACGTTATAACTCAAAATTTGTAGAATTCAAATAAAACACATGTAATAATAATATGTTTTTCCTCCTAAGACCAAAAAAAAAAAAAAAAAAACTACATGAGAAGTGAGAACTCACTGGTCTGATGAAAAAGTTAAGAAAATATCTAAATGAGTCAGAACCATGATCATATCTCTCTCGATCTGCTCCTAAGTTGTTATGGTTCAAATCGATCGCCACTGGAAACAGAGGAATCTATCTCTGATCGGAGAGAAACGTGTAGTACGAATCGCAAAGCTTCCCTTTTGATTCAAAGGGTCGATCTCTGAGAGCTTAAGAAGCTTAGGGATGGTTATGTTATATGATTGATGAGACAGAGCTCAAGCGATGATAAGCGGATGTGGGAGACCATCAGAAGATACGATAATTGAGTAGCTTGCTACTATGGTGGTGGCGGTAACGGGTGAGCTGCGGTGGTCATGATGATTGATAAAAAAAAAAGACTTGGTGCTTTGACATTCACGGTTTAGGAGGGAAGTGGAGAAGACGGAAGAGAATTTTCAAATGAGCATTAGGTTTCTCAAAGCCCATAACATCGTTAATGGGCCTAACTCTGTTGTTCAATGATTTGTCATGAGTTTGTTTTTCCTCACTCTCTAAATGAGTTTCAAGGTTTTAAAGGCCGATAATATGTTTAATGGGCCTAGTTCTGTTGTTGGATAAACTGTCTAGGGTTTGTATTGTGACCACCTCAATAAAATTTGTATTGTGGGGAGCAAACCACTTAAAAAGGAAAAAAAAGGTTTCCCAATACTTGTGTAGCAAGCACGCTCTATAAAAAGCTCACTACTCCAAGCATTAGGGCACCGATTATGCATTTCTTAATGGTTATCAAAATCTCTTCCAACCAAGGTTCGAAATTTGTAGAACGCAACTCTTTTTTATGGCAATAACTACCTAAAGTTACTCGGAATTATAGTTTGGACGAAGTTTTCATAATGAATATTTGTTGTTATATTCGGTGTCAAGTATGTTATAGTTACATTCTTGAGGATCCTTAGAGTTGTTTTTGAATACACCAACTCGATGTACACAATATATACTTGTCAACGATAAAATATTTTATAACAACGAGGAGTTGTTAAAATCTTGGGTTGCCTAGAAGGAGGTAACAAATTTAAATTCCGTTGGTAGAAATGAAATGGTATAGATTTTGCTTTAGAGATATATTATACAGGTCCACGTGGTCGGAACTCGGAACTTCCTACTTAAAAATGAACTATTATTCAGAGGACAGACATGCGATTGTACTGCCCTACGGATTTGTGTTTGTTTGAGAATTTGCCCTACCTATATTGTAACATAATGTTTTGTGGGGATCATGAGTCCATAGTGTTTTTGTATTTTTGTTAAAGTAACTTTTTAAGCAAAAATTTGTTTGTTATCTTCATTTCGACTATAACACTACCAGTTTTATTTGCGTTATTGATTTGTAATACTAACTTATGAGGATGAATTCATTAATAAAGAATCACCATTTCTCACACATTGTTCTAAGCTAATCTTCTAATAATTTTTTTACTAATTTAGAAACTTTTATTCGCTAATTCATCAATGTTATAATATGCCAAAAACATTAAATGGTCAGACTCTGCTATTCCACCATTATCCATGGTTATCACTTAAACCCAATATCTTGGACTTATACAAGACAAGAAGTACGCTGACATAGAAGTGCAAAACAAAGTTGTCTCAAGTATATAATCTATAGACTTACTTATTTGAAAATAGCTTACTAAGAGAATATAAATGATGAAGATATATAACCGATCGATAGCTACGGAAATGAAGGAGTGGACGAAGATCGGAAAAATGGGCGGAAGAGATAACATTTTACTTTGACTTCTTGATCATCAGTAGGTAGATTTGAGGCATCTCTTACATCTGATCCCTCTCTGAGATTTTATTGATCCTGTCAAGGTTATATCAGAATTAACTATGCGAGATTATACACTCATTTGGTATGCCATATTCAAGATCTTAACTTATTCTTTCACTTATGTTTCATTTGACAAATCACATATGTTATATTTGTATCATTGAACAAGATCTACAAAGGTTTGCGGGGGACAAAACAAACTTTCAGCCTTTTCCAAAGTGAGTGGTGACAAAGATCCTAAAGGACCTTGGCCAAAAAAAAAAGATCCTAAAGGAAGACTTATAAAGATGATTCGAGCATACTATATATGTACCTATGATTGAAATTATATATGAGATCAAAGAAAATAAACAATTATTTAGGTGGATTCAAGGAGAAACTTACTGTCCCACAAAATATAATATATATATTATATAATCTCAGAAAATGCCAATGCATAACAATCCCAATGTTCATGCAGTAAAACAGCATCTATCAAAGCTCTAATTAATGTCACAATCCAAGTTCAAAAACCTGAGATCTTAATTACAACTGATAGAATTGTAATTAGGCTTTTGGTTGAATTAAAAATGTTAAAGATTGTATGAGTTGTTTATATTTAGATCATTTTCCTAAGACCCACATAGCAATAATAAAAAGCATGATCAGTAAAGTCTTATAGATGTATTAACTTCTTTTCTGAGATAACCTTATTAACCTTTAAGAACAATCATGGAATGACAATTATTAATCGATTTCTTTAAGTTATAAAATGAAGGGAAAAGGTTCATTCAATTTCTCTCTTGATCATCAGTGGGGAACAACATCTACACAAATCTTTAAATAGAAGCGGTCTAAGAGCCAATCATTATACTTCATTGAACTACTGTTTACAGTGGTGAAAGTTTGTGTGTGTGTGTGGGGTTGATGAAGAAAAATCCATCTTTGGAGAATCAAATGTTTTCGAAATCTTGAATGGGGTTCTCTCTAGGATTATAGTAAAAGTGTGATGAATTCTCAAATGAAGGTTTTAGTTAAAAACATCTAGTTTAATTTAAGAAAAAAAAACTAGAAAATTTAATGAATAAATCTATTCAAAAACTTTTAACATGTGATGCTAGAAACAAGAAATGTTATTTTCCTGTATTTACAATTCTTAACTAAAATCTACTTCCACTGAAAGAGCTAAAATGATCTAAATATATTCATCCAAAAAAATTTCTACGAATCCGAATCCATCATCAACAAAATATAATAACTAATCAATATTTTCTCAAAAGCCTAACCATTTCTCAAACTAATTAGGGTTTGATACATAGACCAATCTACAACATAAACCTATAGATTTGGTGTATGTTACTAGTTAGTCAAAGTTTCTACTAAAGAGACCAAAAACAAAATCTAATGTAATACATGTAAATGAATGCAAAGGCACATATCCAATAAAATAAATAAAAGCATAGTCAATGGAGAAATATATTACCACAAAGTCCTTCACCAAGATCGATGAGAATCTTAAGAGAAGCTGAAGGAAGAGGAGGAAGAAGAAGAGTCGTCTCTTCCACCACTCGTCTCCGTCGTTGGCTTCTTTTTCTTCTTCTTGTAAGGAATACCTCTAGCCTTAGCCTGACACTCCCTAACCTCCCTCAGATAAACCCTTATTGCTCCACTAGCGAAAGGGTTTGTTTCCGGAGAACCACCGTTCTCCTCATAAGCCGCTCTCATCCGTCCGATCAAAGCGTCGAGACTTCCCCAAGCTTGTCTGAGAGGGCACGTGCAAGGAGCTGGTGGCTCAGGCTGGCCGTAGAACATACAGCCAGGCACGTGTACCTTTGTCTTACCGAACTGGTCTAAGTACCTAAGGAAATCAAGAACGTGGTTGCAGTTGCAGTGTGATATGTGCACCGGTGGTCTTTGGTTCTTCAAGTACTGTCCGAAAGTGTTCCAGTCGCGTCTCTTCTGTGACTCGTAACGGCTTGGTGTCACCGGTGGCTCTGATCCTGATGATTCCATCAAGTTCTTTCCTCTATCTCTAGGAGATGACATGATATATGATCTTGTTCAGTGTAGAGAGAGAGATGCTGGTGAAGTTTTGTGTTTTATACTATGGATCTGATGAATTAGGTAATAGGAGAAATGAAAGGTTGAGTAAGTTTGATGAGAGGGGTAAAAGTAATAGTAATAATGGAGGATGATGTTGACGTCAGAGGACTTGTCTTGGGCCCGTTCTTTTTTTCAAACTTTGCTTTCTCTCTTCATCGGTCTCTCACATTTTGGATTATCTCCCACTAAAAAAAAACAAATTTCAAATTAAAATCTCAGACTCTCTTTCCTATGGAATTAGTAATTAACGAATTGTTATTAATCAACTCGTATATAGCTATGAAATATTCTTTATGTGGTCAAGAATTAGAGGTTAAATTTATCTCACTCTGATTTTGAATCTTTGTCGTTTAGATAGTAAAATATCGCTTCATTGTAATTTATTTATATAATGTTTTTGCAAAAGTTTATGGTCTCAAATGATTCATATATAAAATTATCATAAAATTAATATATGTTATATAATTTATTTATTAGTGTCTAAATAATATATATGTGTTTATATCTATAATATATAAATATATATTATTTTATGTTTGTTATTAAAAATAATAAATTATGTGTAATTATAGAAATCATATTATATTTTAAATGTGCAATATTATTCTTTTTAATAATTTAAAATTTTCACTTTTAATTTTAAAAATACAAATTTATTTTTAAATTATATAAATGTTTTTATATTATTAAACTAAAAGAAATTAATTATATATCTGTTTTTTGTAAGTTTTATATATTTTAACTGCAAATGTTTTCCCTAAAGCTCCATTGGAGAGCATTGAGCAAAGAGTATTTGAAGAACATTAGCATTTGATAAATGATTTTCCAAATGCTTATTTGAATAATAGAGAGCACAATGCTTATATTAATACTCTACCAATCAAGCCTTAGAAATATAATCACTGTTGTTTATAAATATGGTTTTCGATCCAGTCAATTTAAATAGTAACTAGTACTTGATATGCTTCTCCTCACGAATATTTAGTTTAGATTGTGTTCAACGTAAATTCATAAATATATATATATATATATATATCTTTTATATATATATATCTTTTATGTTTTGTAATTTACATATAGAATAAAAATTTATAATATAGATGTTTGATAATATTTTTTGTTTGTACATAATCTTATATTTAAATTTTTATAATTGAATGTAGTTGTGCTATTCATATATTAACATATTGTTTTTTGTTAATTTATTTTGAAATGAAACATAGTAAGAAAATAAATTTTTGCATTAATTTTCTATGAATTATTGTTAATATTATGATATTTTTTCTTAAAAATTTAATTCTTGGAATTTTATATTTGACTAAACTAAAAGAAATAATATTGTATTTAAAAATAGTTTTATATAGTATATACTATATATTTTTGTTTGTGTTTTTATTTTCATTACAAAGAAACAATAACCATTATAATTAATTAAATTAATTTTATTTAAATGCAATGTCAGAATCTTTGAATAAAAAAAGAAAAAAGGAAATAATTAGATGCATCTATGCAGTAAAAGAAAAATATCATATTGATTTAGATGCATCTATGCAGTAAAAGAAAAATATCATATTTTCTATTTTCTATTTTAACTAAAAATAAAAATCGATTTTTAATTTTATTAAATAAAAGTTAAAAAAAAAAATTTAACTTCTACTAAAAATTTTATCTTAAGAACTCTAGGTTAATCATTGTTTTAAGCGATTATGGGTTGTATGTTAGAAATTTTATCGGTTAAAATACAAAACAAAATTGTGGCAGATGATGTGTGCCTACATACGTCATTAGACTAACGGATGTGGAAAATATTTACTTCTGCACATGTCAGTGTTTCATACTTATATAAAAGATGTGAAAAACGATCTTGATATATAACTATATATATATATATATATATATATATATATATTTATTTATGAAATCAGGTTTGAGCTGTCATGGTCAGTGAATGAATCACGTTTAGTCTATAAATAAATATATTATTCTCACTGTTTTACTTTAATTTATTATTTAATTTATACATTTTCTAATAAAAACATCATTACATATATACTAAACCATATACCAATAAATAAAAATTTAATTAGAGGATATAATAATCATATATAAAATTTAATAAATTTATATTAAAATTTTAAAATAATATATTTTTGAAACGAAAATTTACTCTACAATAATAAATAAATTAAAATAGATGGAATAATAAATTAAGAAGTATACTAATACGTCTATAGGTCCATCTAATTTTCAAGACTGACTAACCACAATCGTTTGATATATCTTTCGTATTTAATATATTTATCGTATTTTTCCAATACAAAAAGTGTAGTATTTTCAATGTCAAATTTGCTTATTTTTGTATTTAGTTTATTTGTAATAGTGTTTTTTAACCACTATTTGTAACAGTGTTATCTTCAGTATTTGTCTTAGATATATTTATCGTATTTTCCTAAAAATAAAAAAGTATTATATTTTTCGATGTCAACAGAATATAAAAATTTGTCATGGTCTCGGTCTTGGCCTCTTGGGTTAATATCTCAATTAATATATTCTCTAGATTCATATTTGTAATCTTTCAATCGAATTTTGTTGATAGAGAGTGATGTTATTTATTCAGCATCAATCCCTTGTAGGGTTCACTCTTTTCTATTCCCATTAAACTGAAGTAGTTACTTTTCATGAAGGTTTTTCCGTCATAAATGTAAATGCTGTTGTTTTTCCAATGTAAAATTCTTAACATTTTTAATGTAAACATAAATCTAGTTACTGTTTCTTAATGTTATTTTGTCGCCACTTACTCAAAACATGTATATTATCGGATTATATTCCATCTGTTCCAAAGTATAAAATGTTTACAGAATTTTTGATATTTCAATATGTAAAATGTTTCTGTATTTTAAATAATTTTTTAACTTTATCAAAAAAAAATAATCAATCATATCTAAATTTTTATTCTATTATTAGTTGACTAGTTTTAATTTATAATTTAAATAGAACATATTAAACAAAATTAAATTTTAATAGTGTGTTTTAACTAAAACATCTTAAAAAGGAGTATAACACAACAACATCATTAACACATATATAACAGTAAATTATAAATTCGTTTCAGTTATCATTGTATACAACTTGTTTAATTTCCAAATAAGGATGAACACAAACACTGTTTTTTGGGACAGACAACACAAACACTATAAAATAAGTATTTTGTCATATACAATAAATTTTCAAATCCACTATATCTAAAATATTTTGTTAAAAAATTTTCTTGCTATACAAAAATATCATTTTAAATTTTAAAAGTAATTTATATCTATTTTAATTTTAATATTAACTTTTAAATGTATTAATTTTTAATATTATAAATTAAATAAATGTAGTTACTAAAAATATAAGTGCATTTAAACTATTTTCTCGTTTTGTAATTGTATGAAACGGAGTACGAAACATAAATTGAAAAATTACCCCAAACATAAATTGGAAAAGGAAGGAGTTTTTATGACACAAGAAAAGGGCATTCAGATTTGTCTTACAGGTCAAAATCAATGTTGATTTGAATTTGTCATTAAATGCTTAAATATATTGTAATTAGGGGTCTTGTTTTTTTCTCCGAAATTCAATGCACATCAACGTTTTCTAAAATCCAATCAAAGCCTAATTTAACGATAGATTTAGACATCAGTCCTTCCATTTTATAATGATATGCAATATAATAATAATGTAATGAAAATCATTGAGAATGTAAAGTAGAGTGAGCACCAATGTCCCTTATTGGTTCATGAAGACTAGGTAATAGGTTATGACTCACTAACCACTATATTTCACCTTCCTTTTTGTAATTAGTTAAATATGGTATCTTTGATTATATGTAAAAATGGTATTATCATGGTCCATCAGAATTAATTTCTGATAATATAATAAAATATGATCAGTAACATATGGTGTCTATATATATTAACAATCAGGAATTAATAATAGTATATCTGGAGAGAATGGATTATAACAAATTATGATTTGGTTTGGCCAGAATGAACCAACTAAATAAACCATGATCTGAAATGTTACAATTTTCTGTAATCATATGGTATAAAATGATTTTGTAATTCTAAGCTGTAATGATTTGGAAGTAAGAAAACTCTGGATCACCTGTTCGGAAATCTCAAATTTCTGTGGCCCCACAGTTTTCTTTTAATACTTCACGTTCACTAGTAAATTAAACCCTTTTATAAAAAAGAACGTAATATTATAAATTTAGGTAACAGTAATACTATTACGAAGATTGATTTAAGAATTTAAGATCAGGCATATAGCTAAAAACTTGGAGAGTTAATGTTGCCGACACCAAATGAATTTGATCGTGGTAGACTGGTAATAACATAAATTGATATATTGCAGACAATAATAGTTATATATGTATATATATATTAAGATTAATTGTACATTCCCATTGATTTGCTGATAATGGAGACGGGTTACATCGGCTATTATCGATATTGCCATCAATTTGTACTATATATTGCATATTATTATTAGTTTGTAATTAATAAAAGATAAACCCCATTTCCATCTTCTTTCTTTTTTATTCACTACACAGGTTTTGTCTATCATTAATTTTTCATATATGTAGTTTCTTGAAGTTTAGATGACTAAATGAAACTAAAATCGGTAAATATATCAAGTCATCGACTGAAGATGAGGAGAAGCAAGCCTTCAGTCAAAAAGAAAGAAAGGTAAGGAGAAGCGGAAACGGAACAAAAGAGAGAGCATGTGATGTGTTTGGACTTATAAGAGACTTGTGTATGCATATAAATACTCAATTATTTCCCAACCTGTCAAACTTGACTGTTTATGATATAACATTTTTATTATTGTTTTCCAGTGTTTACCAAGTTGTCTATATATATAGTTAGGTCTCGTTCGTTTAAATATGAGTGGCATTCTTAAAGTTCATGAACCCACACTATTAACAATAACAATGCATTGCTTGTCCATAGCTATTATTTTTATATCACAGCTAACGGAATAAA